TTTTTTAATTCTTTTCAATTAATTTTGAGAATAAAATTATTGAATGGTGGAGTTTGGTTGGTTGGCCATTGATTATTGAGAATGGTTGGTACTTTGACAATTTTATTTGGAGCATTTATGTATAATTTGGCACAAACTCAAAGGCAGGTACGGATGTGACGTTTGATTTATAATAATTCGCAATTGCTATGTTTGGTAAACTAAATAATTGAGCTTATAGTTTATTTAGTTAGCTTATAAATTTCCTATATTCAAATAAATCTCGTTTGGTAGGACGAACTTATTTAAAAAACTCGAGCTTATTTGATAAACTTGTTTAAGTAGCTTTTCAAATAAGCTAGTTGAATTTTTTATTTCAGCTAGTTTATCAGCTAATTTTATCAAACACTTTTATCATATAAGCTAGCTTTTCAGCTAGAAGTCATAAGCTATAAGCTATAAGTTCAAAAATTACATATAAGCTATAAACTAACTTATCAGCTAATTTTACCAAACATAGCCATGTTCTACACAATATTTTTTTTTATAAGGTATGAGTACCAAAGATATTATATTTTTAGATAAATTTATATATATTTGTATTGCTGAAAAACATTTTTTTTTTTAATTTTAATTAAATTATAATGGAAATTATTATTTTTATTTATAAATTTTATATATTAGAAATACATTGACATTTATTTACAGAGTATCTGTGAAGCCTCTGTATCTGATATGAGTACTTCAGTCTTCGCCTCACAGAGTGATTCATATCTATGAAGCCTCAGTATCTGTCATGAGCAGAGGTGTAAACTGTAAAGAGCCGACTCGAGCCCTTAACAAGTTTGCAATCGAGCTCCGGTTCAACTCGTTAATAAATATTCACGAACTACACTTGAGTTTTAGCGGGTTAAGATCACAAGCAGTTTGTTTCGTTTTAACTGTTCTAGTCATGAGTACTGACTTCACCTCACAGTGATTTATACCTGATAGCCAAAACAATAATCTCACATAGTTAAATTTAACAATATTAGAGTTCCCCATATATCAACTTTCATGTTCCAAATTATTGATAAAAATAAATTAAAATAAACTAATAATAATAATAATAATAATAATAATAATAATAATAATAATAATAATAATAATAAGTGAAAAAAAAAAATATCATGGTTACATCCATATAACAATAAGCTGATTTTATGTCCTTCTTGACCTACTTTTCAATCATCAAAATGGTACTGGCTCTTTTTCCAGATTAGATTAGATAGCCAACAGCACCAAGCTAACTATTTGGTGTGCACATAGTAATAAAAACACCGAAACTTCATTGAAACCTGCAGATACAATATATATGTAAAGCGTGTAGGAATCAGTTTGGGGCACGACAAACTTATCTTGTGATTATCACGCCAAAAAAATCTCCGTGTAAATTTTCCAGCATTTGCATCCGTCAACTTGTTAGAGCCGCAAAAACAAATCAATCACGCACTTACAACGCCAGCAGCCCACGGG